GTAATTAACTATCTGAAATTAAACTGTATAGATTCTCAGTGTCTTCCACAGCTACCCCTATGTGGTGTCATCCCCTAAATCCCTCCTGTCTCTCTGGTGACTACCCTGGGACCCTCATCCTGTACCGACCCTTTGCAGACATCTGACTTCTGCTTCTTGCCTCCAAGCGAAATCTCACACATAATTAAAGAGCTAGTTGCTTTAGAGGGTATTCTCTGCAAAAGCAGACCTGCTACTACCTACCAAAGTCATAGAATCTGAGTGATTTTAAACATAAGGAATTACTGCCTGTCTCTAAACAATGAGTTCAAGTAATTGTCAAGTGTGTTCAGCTCTTTGATGATTTTCATGAAAGCAGCTCTTGAATACCTGGCCTGAATATGAATGAGAGTTACAAGATTATGTTCAGGGGTAGCTTCATTGGTGTCATATTAACAGGGCAAAATTAATCCAGTATCTCCTTTTTTGTATTTTTCCTCTGTTGAAGGAAGATAATTTTCCTAGCTATCTCTCTTCAAAAGCTGGAAGGAACAGTAGGAATAGTGTCTGCTCCTTCCACTAGAGTATCTGATAACAAGGATGAGGAACAAGAGTGATGGTATTTATTGTACAGAATGTGTACATGTGGCTACGTTCTGTTTTGTGCCTTATAACTTCCCATCCATTAAAAAATCAACAACAAACCAAACACTCACAAAAAGTGACTGTGAATCGAAAAAACATGCATATTTTTGAAGTGGATAAGTTATTGTCCTAACAGAGTCTGCAAGGATTAGGCTTTTATTTAAACAACCTCAATTCTTCAGAATGAGATTCCTCAAACCAGTGCAGGAGTTCAGAATTTCCTATAGATCTGCAAAATGGCCTTATGGGAAAGAAAATACTACAAAGAAAGAGGAAAAAAATGTGGATGATGAATTCAAGTTGTTAGAGGTATCTTAGAACATTTCTGCCAGAGGAAAATTAAGGAGTTTTACTTTTTGTATTTTATAAACACTTCCAAGGGCTTCCAAGAACCTGAACACACCAGCATTCCTCCCTCTCTTGTAAAAGTACCTATGTTTGAAAGGAACTATGATTAGGATGTGATTTGGAAAAAAAACATGGCTATTCAGTATTTTTTATTGTCATATACTTTCTAGAATAAGGACCTTGGTAAGGAAAGCAGTTCTCTAGTCTTTTCACTGAGAATGTAAAAAATTGTATTAATTAATTAATACCAATTTTACTTGTATCTCTCTTCTTTCTCCTATGGCAGGCAGTTAACCATTCCTCATGAAATAAATATATGCAATGCATTCATTTCACTTATGTCTCTCTCTGGGCTCTCCAGCTAAATTTATACCACTTAGAGTAAGCAATAAATAAATAAATAAGTCAGTGAATAATTGAAACTCAGCTGACAACCAGGTGTATATAACATATGCATTTTACCAATGACCTATTGCCTACTCATGCAGAAGTAATCCTATTCTCTGCAGCTTTCAATAGATGAATCTAAGTTCTCACTAGCCTCAGAAAAAGTCAGCTGTTTCTTTCTCTCTCTTCCTACCTCTTCTGAATTCAATTATGTGGGACATATTAAATAGCACCTAAAAAGAAGATAGATATTTTTAAAAGTTTGACAAACTTATTAGATGTCATGATGGGTTTTCTACCACTGCATGTGTTAAAACTATGTTGATTGACTGTTGTTATGGAAGTTGCACTCAATTACAGTTAGGTATCAACAAGAATTAATTGATAGAATTTCTACTATGCAAGACAGTTACATATTAACTATGGTCTCTCTTGGCCATATAATACTATTACAGGCCTTAAAAGATGCTGCATTGGCTGTATCTTAAAAAATGAGCTTTTAATTTTAGGGCTTAGACTAATGATAAGCTACAAATCTGCATGCAGTATTAGCTGAAATTTATCAAGTGCAAAACTTTTACATGCACATAACTATCATAAATCAGCTGCCATAAAATTGCTGGTGAATGGCTAATAACTGGATAACCAGTTTAATTATCTAGAGAGAATGCCAACTGTTTTGTTGAGGGGGTAATTATGCACCATTATTATTATGAAATTGCTAAATATGGAGAGCTGATGTGAATAATTAAAAAACTGTTGTCATTTTAAATATGCCTTTTTTTTTTTTTTTTAATTTTATACATGCTTTACCCTAATTAAATATGATCTGGCACTTGTTCTTTTTGCAATATCCATTTTTTTGTACCTTTTGACTTGGCTGGTCTTTCTAGGTCTAAATCTTTCAAAATTTTTGGCATGAACCTAATTTAATGCATTGCCAGTATTCTTCACTTTGGTGAACTTTTACCAAAACTGCTGCCTCTCATATTAAAGTCTTCCAGGCACTCATGATCATGTTGGGTTAGTATAATAAAGAAGTCATGCCAACAAGCAGAGTGAAGGAAAGAAAGTCCAGAAAACTCTTAGTCTTACTCAGATTGAATATGAACATAAATGCCAAAAGGTGTGGAAATAACTCCTGTAGAGAGGAGCATCCTGTACCCCTACAGGCCATGACTCAGCATTCAACACTAGGAGATGTTTCAGTCTTCCCTAAGGAATTTATATTCACCCCTAAGAGGCAAAGGAAGACAATCTCAATGTCAATCTCAAATTCAACTTTGCATTCCAGCCAAAATCATAATTCAGATACTCTTATCTGAATAGATTGTATACTTGATGAATTTTTGCTTCTGAACGATACCATAAGAGATTTTAATTAAGGAGTCTACTATCACTTCAGTGCCAAATTATGCCCCTGTCTTATACACAGAGTAAAGGAGTGTGGATTTTTCTTCTTTGCTATGCACTTTGCATAGAAAGAAGGATAAATGGAATTACCTTTACCAAGGCAGTATAGTAGCTGTTCTCTCCCTGCACTCCAAACACAAACTAGAACAGTAAGAGGTGCGATCTTGCTTCCCTCTGGCTGCTTTCTGAGAGAGGGGAAACAATGCAGTATTTTATCAACCTTTTTTCCTTTGTGGGATCTCTCATGGGAAGACTGCAGCACTGCACATTCGTGCAAAGCTCAATAATCTGTGTCAATCCCAAGGTCTTAGGTTGTCACACTTCATATTCCCTTCCCCCTCCAAAAGAATTAGCACCATGAAGTCTTGTGCTTAGGCACAACAAAATGAAAAGGTTTAATTAGTTCCTACAGGTAGTATAAAGAAAATGTGGGAACAAATCTGTGTTGCAGAAGGTTGATGAATGAGAGGCTGGTGTGCATGACCAAGTCATTTGTAGGCAGCCTAAAGTAATTTAGATTGGTGTTTTGACCAACTCTGGCTGCAAGCGGCAGTAAGGGCACCCACGTGTTAGGCTAATTGAGGCTAAGTCAGCATTTCTTCTGCAAACATTTACTGTATTTCAAAATCCCAGCAGTTGCAGCTGTTTGGGTTAAAACCTCAGATACAAGTCCTGGCACAAAAGCTCATCCTCTGTTAAAAAGAACTCCCCCAGTTATTGTGAGACTAGGAGGAGCATCTCTTTGACTTGGTACCGAGGAGGTGGGCCCCTCCTCAGAACGTGGTGGTGTAGCTTCTGTCTGATGCCCCCCTTTGGGGTGGAGGAAATACTGTAGTAAAAGGCAAAGATAGCACAAAGGCAGGGACTAATTTTTGGGGTTTTTCTACCCTTATCATTATGAACTTGTCCAAAATAATTCAAGTATATTACAGTAAAACTTCTGAAAAATTCTGGAAAGAAGTTAAGCCTGTTTGCTCAGATTGAACTTCCTAAGAGGAATCAATTTTAGCAATAAAGTCACAGACTATTAAGAGACTGAATTTCTTGAAGAGTTTGGGTATTTCAAAGCATGCAAACCAAGACCAGTACACCCTCCCCTCTGCCTCCAATTTGTCCAGCGTTTACATGATTTTTCAATAATTTTGAGTTGGTAGAAAGAAGAAATGCCAGACAATTAATTCAAAATGTTCTCTAACAAACCAGAGTTACTTTATGTTATAGAAACTGAGACGTATCTCAATCTTGTTTATGCTGATTTGAAGAGTTCTTTTGATCATAATTTACACACTTCCTTGCTTGTTAACTTTAGTTTACACTTCAGAATTTGAAGTTGGTTTTTAGATCTGCAGTTACTACAACCATTTGGAAGCCACTGACAATGACATGGTAGAACTAACCCTTAAATGGATATTTTGCATAGAATCTTTTGTCTGCAGTTTATGTTCTTGATAGCATTAAATATGGTGTGAATAAAGAAAGGAAAACATGGAGGGAGAATGTTAGGACACTTGGGAAAGTTTCAAGGAAAGAAGCTGAAAGTAAAACAGTGCATGAAAAGTGAACTTCAGATTCAGAAATAATATACAGATATTTAATGCGTATATTGTCTACATTTTATAAAAGAATGGTACGTTTTTAGAATATGTCACATATAAAAATGATTTTTTAGAATGACAAGTTATTTTAATATAGAGAACATATAACTTTTCAAGTGGCTATGACCACTTGAAGTAAGACAATAGCTGTAATATTCAAATCAGTGTAGTGATCTATAATTCAGCTAAAAATGTGATTTTTTTCTATTTCATAAATTCAGCTTTATTTCTGTTATTGAAATATCACAATATTTTATTTTAAAAGCAACTATCATCTGTTTTTTCATGGGCTTTGATAGGTGATATAGATGATATTTAGAATGGTTTCTGACTGAAAGATCAGTGAAAATAAATTAATAAATCAGCTACCTTTTAACACAACATTTAACATGTATTTTAGCATAAGTTGTCCTTGGTCAGTAAAGACAAAACACACTTCTTAGTACTTTTCTGAGAAGGAAAATTTCCATGACTGCAGACTTTATTGACTAAAACTAACTTGTTCTAAACTTAGGTACAGTAAACGGCCATAATTTTAAAACAGGATGTTTACACTCAATATTATCTCACAAATTATAATGTATGGTAGTTGATTATATCAATATCCATGAAAATATGCAGATTTCTACTTACCCAACGGACAGGAAAGGCTCCTTTGATTCAAGTCTGTCAAGTAAATAACAAGTTTTAAATACATATTTATTGTATTTCAAAAAAATTATACAATAAATTTAGAACAGCACTCTTAGTATCAAGTTTACTTGATGACACAATTTGGCAGCAATAGAAGGGCCTAAGCCATTATACTAGGAGTTTAACTCAGAAAAAATCTCAATAACCTAACTGAATTTTGGTTTAGAAAATAAATATTTACAAA